CCACTCGCCGCCCGACCCGGCCCGGCCGGACCCTGCCGCCACCGCCCCTTCCTTACCCCGTCCGGTCCGCGCCCGCCTCTCGGGGCGGCTCCGCAGGGCGGCCCGCCCCCGGTGTCCTCTGTCCCCGGCGTCCTGAGCCCTCGGTGTCCTCTGTCCCCGGTGTCCTGAGCCCCGAGTGTCCTATGCCGTGTGCATCCTTTATCCCTTCTGTTCCATGCCCCGAGTGTCCTGTGCCCTGTGTGTCCCCTTCCTTGTCTGCCCCGTGCCCGTCCCCTCTCAATTTTATCATTAGAATGTTAAAACGAATTTGATTTTTCCTTCTACACCTCATCCCATCCCTGGGCTGCTTCGGTTTGCTATTGTCAACCATGTCACAAGCTTCTAGAAATTACTGTGTGTTGCTTTTCAGTGCCTTCATTAAAATGCATCCCTGCCAGGGAGCTCTTTATCTGTATTATACATATTAATAAGGCTGGGTAGCAATAATTAAGGGATGACTAACATATTCGTGAGTGAAAGTATCCAGCACGGGCTGGAATTCGTAGGTAAATAAGTTTTATATGTTATTAAAATTTGGGGATGGCTGTTGCTCGTTTCAGCTCTTCCCTCTTTCCCTGGTGTAGCCAGAACTCTTTTCTCCCAACACTTTGAGAAACTTGTGAAGAGCTGAAGAGGAGACTGTGTCACTGTGCAGCTTTACGGAGATCTTTTGCATTTCCTGTGGGTTATCATGTGAATTCTTGTGCTCTCTGTGGTGCAGGTGATAATGGAGAAGGATGGAGTGGTGACAGAAATCCGTGTAGAGCAGAATACATTATTTGAAGAAGTCTGAGTTTCAGAGAGTTGGTGGCTGTGCTCAGCTTCCTGGAGGAGGAATTGCAGATGCAAACACTTGGATATGTGTTTGAAGTGAGATTTGGCCTCCCTGGTGTTTCTGGGCTCCTTTTAAAGTTGACCCACATATCATTTCCCTGGATTCATAAGATTTTTGAGTTCTCTGTTCTGTGAATGTATCAGTGACTCTTGTGCAATTATAATTTTCGTGCTTATTTCATTTTCCATAATTTCTAGGCTTCCATAGGAGACATTATCTCTAAATCACTGGTGTTGCATAGCAATTTCATTATATGTGATTCTGCAGATTTTCTATAAATACCACTTGCTGTTAATTTCTTGGCTTATATTGTGGTGGCTTTGGCAGTGCTGGTTTAACAGTTGGGCTTGAGGACTTCAAAGCTCTTTTCCAGCCTAAATGACTCTCTGATTCTTTATTATTTTACAGGTTTTCCAGCAGATAGCATCAGTGGTCGCAGGCAGAATTTGCTGTATGTAACAGAAGGTTTTCACTCAGGCTTAAAAGAGTAATTTAATTGCATTCTCATGAAAGTTAAATGCTGTTTGCTCAGATTAAAGGAGGAAGAAACACTCTTCACATTTCAGCCCCCACACTTCTGAGTGCCTGTTTATCCCGGAGAGAAGGCGTCAGCCACCAGTTTGTACCGGGATAAATAACAAATCCTCTAATTGAGAGCCAACGGATCCTAATTGACTTTATGATCATCCTCCAGCTGGGCTCAGCCCTTCTCTCCAGTCATGGCATGGAGCATCCTTTGTTTAAGGCACCCTGAGGTAGGAAAACCCAGCCCCTCGGAGAGGCTGCAGCCTTGTGAAGTGTTTGAAGTTGTTATTTCAGGAGCTTATTTTAGCCACTCCTGAGCTGAGCATTGAGAATATATAGAGCAGCATTTAGGGAAAATGTTCATGTGGTGGTGGCTTCCTTTACCATGAGCTGCAGCTCTGCCAGCCAAGCTGAGCTGTGCCATTTAAGGAACACTGAAGCTCTGAGTGAAGCTTAAACTTAGAAACTTTGCTGGAGTGCACCGGATGCTGGGGGAAACCAGAACACACTTTTTGGATTGTCAGACCAAAGGCAGGAGGGTTCCCACAGAGCCCTCCTCCTTGTGGAGCTTCTGTTTCATATTTAGATTTTGTTTTTTTAATACCCAAAGAGCTTTTAGTTGGGTTCTGACCATGGTGGCCTGGAAATTGAGCTAAATTAAAGCAGGTTTTGTTTGTTTACTTAGAAGTGCTAACAGTCTTGGACAGTCCTGCAGCATTTTTCAGGACTTAGATCATTCTAAAACAGATTTGATTCAAAAGAAATTTGATAAGAAGGTAATTCTCACTTGGTGTGTTTGCATCTAGGAAGAGCTGAGCCTGGGCAGGTGTGCTGAGGGAGAATCTGGATTTGATATGAAATATTAAGAAGTTTATTCATTTTAATTGCTGGAAGATCCAAGAGAGCACAAAGAGTTAAATGAATTATTTGGAAGATACAGGAGAAGTTGGGGGCCTGATCCTCAATAAATAAATGGCGTTTCCATTGAGGGTGTATCAGATGCTCCCATACTGCTCAGCTTCTTCTTTTGGGTGGTTTGAGGGTTCATAAATCCCCAGACAGAGAGTCAGGGATGTCTTTCCAAACTGTGCCAAAAGATGAGGGTGATCCATTGAGTCATGGAAGTTTTGTGCACATTTGTTCATCACAGCTGTATGAGACAGCAGCTGTATTACAACACTTCTGAAAAATTATGTATTAGAATCAAACCCTTAGCCACAATTATTTTTCACATCATTTAACAGTATCACAGTATTTTTAACTCTAGTTTAGCCTTCCCTGCTTCTCAGCCCTTACTCCTGGAAAAAAAGCACAGAGCAAAAAGAGAAGAATTATCTTAGAGGAACAGAATTATCTTCTGATTAAGGCTTAATTAATAATGCGTACATAACTAACAGTGTGTACATAATTAATAGTGTGTACAATTCCCTGTCACAGGGCCAGTCTGACCTAAATTGCACTGGTAAGAGCTGAAAAGAACAGAATTTTATTCTGAGAAAGCAGGTAACTAGTGATGACACCCAAACCAGAAGAAAAATCACTTTCATGGGCCTGTTTGTTTTCCCTGCACAGGTGTGTGAAACCTCTGAGTGCTGCTCTTGTACAGTTTGAAATGCAACAACTGCATGCAGATCTGCTGCTTCCCGTTTCAAAGGCCTAACCAAGAGCGTTCTGAGGCAATCCAAAAGCTCTTTGTGGGTGAGAGGAGATGCAGATTCAGTTGCAAACTCCAGGAAAGTGCTGATGGATTTATTCCCCTGCGCAAACCCCTGGCACCGAGTGCTGACACCAAAGCCTCAGCCTGAGCCCGGCTGCTCCGAGTGCCTTGCCCATGGGTTTGTAAGGCCATTCCCAGCTAGTAATTGGTGACTGGATATGGTCAGGGCAGGCAGATAAACACTGGAGGAAGGGGGTGAATCACTGAGTAAATATCCTACCGATGCTGTAGGACTGCTGTTACTCACAGCACCTTTGGGGGGATGTGACGTGTTTGTTTTCAGGAAAATGTTACTTGAAAGAAGAATTGAGGTTAGATGTGTTCCAAATCCGCAGCTCCACACCGTCCTCACGCACCTCTTGTCTCCTTCAGACCGGTTTAACATCCCCCCTTCTTCCCACCCATCCCCTTGGAACTTGATCCCCC